TTTTCCAGTCATTTTTCATAGCTGAAAAAAGGATTATAACATGGTAATTACACTATCAAATCAGTGTTTTATAAATGTTTCAGCAGAACTGAATGTCACAAAACTTGAAAGATTTACACCTTATTATGTTCCCCAAACAAAGTTTGGGAACATATTGTTTTTACTTTTTCTGAATTTTTCTTTGTTCTCCGGTACTTTTTTGTCCGCGAGTGTTCTCGTAAACTACTCATCCGATCTAGGTGAAACCTTTTTAGGGTCACTAGGTATGTTATGTAGATGTGCGGAATGAAGGTCATTTTGCGCGCACGTGCGTGCATGTGCGCGCACGTGCAACACGTGAAATGACCACTATAATAGATTTAGCTGTAACTTTTAAAATATTGGATCAAATGCTTTGAAACTCATAATATAAGGATATAATAGTAGTATAGACATGATGACATGGTCAAAATAGCAAGATCTCAAGCGCATGCAGGTGCCCTTTGCTGCAATTGGCTGAAACTAAAAGTCTAAATATCTATTTTGTTTTCTGACAAAATCCTTTGAAATTTTGAACATAGTCTTAAATTATGAAGATCTACAGCATGATATATAAGAATAATCATGAACGCACGCACATGCACGTGTGCTGCAATCTTATTGGCTAAAACTTTAAATGCCTACAACTTTCTTGGTTCTCAATAATACAGGGTGAAATTTCAAATATGAATAGATATAATGATTGCCTACATTATACTACTATCACAAGTAAATGCATGGACGTGCATGCACATGCGACTGCAAACAATGTACAGTGGACCCTGGACGCTTTGGTTCCCAGTCAAATTGTCCGGATATGTGAAGCATCCGGATATCTGAATCACCAGTTAAACAAGACAAAATAACATTTAAAATTTTTCGTTCCAATGAAAAATCGTCCGGATACTGAAGCATCCGGATATCTGGCGTCCGGATATCTGAGGGTCCACTGTATTAAAGGCAGTTTACTTGAGTGTTTGATGTTCATGCAGAATTAAGAACTTCTAAATGTCAAGACATGTAACATACTGAAGCATGCAGATCTTTTTACCATTGACTTTGAAACTTTTTTTTTTTTTTTTTTTTTTTTTTTATTAATATCAATTGTCACATCATTGTGTTTACAATATCAATACATCATTAATACATATAATAATCAAATACAAAAAAATATAATAGTGACAATTGAATAGGGGAAAGAGAAAGAAAGGAAGAGAGAAAGAAAAAGGGAGTTGAGAAATGGTAAAGAAACTAGAGCATGTTCATAGGAGTAAAGTTGTGGCATATGTATGTCCAAGCATTGCAAAAGGTCTTTAGGTGTCTGGTTTCAGGGTCTTACATGAGTGAAAGCCAGTCTTTCCATTTAGTGTTAAATTCATTAATTTGATTATTCTTTGTTGCACTATATTTCATCGTAGATAGTAATGTTTTAATATCTCCACGTAATGCTTGTAATCTCAAAACCTCATTTCGACATTTATTTCTATATATAAATGATTTAATACATAAAAATATTGTATTTAATTCACTATTGTTGGGTTTTGGATTTCCAAAAATGAAATTAGCACTATCGTTTGGAAACTCTATATTATGAGCTTCACAGAGAATAGTAAAACTATGTAAAAGCTCCTGAACCTTCTGGCATTCCCACACAATATGAAAAATTGTTTCCTCACATGTCTCACAGAAGCTACATAGTTTAGTATCCTTCAAACCTATTTTATATAACGTTTTATTTGTAACCAAGATATGCTGATTTATTCTGAATTGCAGCCATTGCAATTTAGAACTTTTTGTACATTGAAAAGGAATATTGTATATCATTTCCCATAGGGAATCTTGAATTTCAAAATGTTTACTCCATTTTACTTTTGAAACAGGTACTATGTGATCTGTATTCAAAATATTATACATAGCTTTTGTTCCTTTTTTACATAAACAGAATAATTTTAAATAAAAAGGTAGAATGGGCCTTGGGTTTAATCTTTCTTTGTTTACTTTTTCTACGGCCATTGCTTCTTTTACTGCTTTCTATAAACTTGCATATGTTAAAAAGTTGGTTTCTATATTAAATTTTGCTTTTAGATCCTCTAATTCTAAAAAAGATCCTGTTTCATCTAGCAAATCTGAGATAAAAATTACATCATTCATAAACCATTTGGGGTAAAAAATGGGCTTATTGTCAATTTTAAGTTTTTTATTGTACCATAATGGTTGAGTGATAAAATCTTCCCATGACTCTATTTTCATTTTGTCTTCTATATTTTTGAAAGCAATTAAAGTATCTTTCCAAAAGTCATTAGTTATACTTTGTAATATTATTTCAATATAATTTGAACCAGTATTAAATAGCTTTTTGATATTAAAAGATTTTTGAACCAGTGATCTCCATTTAGAATCCTGGCCATTGAGTAGTTTTTTAATCCAAGATGATTTTAAGCTCTTAATGTAGTTATTTAAGTAAATCATATTCAATCCTCCACTCTTGTAATCTTGAGTAATTTGTTTTCTTTTTATCTTGTCCACTTTTGATTTCCAAAGAAAATTAAATAGAACACAATTTAGATTTTTAACAAAATTTTCAGAAGGTGAAGGTAAAGCAATAAGAAGATGGTTTAATTGTGATATTAATAGTGATTTTATCAGTGAAATCCTACCCAAAGGAGTAGTACGTCTTTTACTCCACTGTAGTATTATATTCTTAATTTTGACCAATTTCTTGTCATAGTTGAGTTCTGGAACTCTATTTAAGTCAACATCAAAATAAATACCTAGTACTTTAAATTGTGTTGTCCATTGAAAGTTCATTTCATTAAGTAGTTTTTCATTTGAATATTTTTTACTTCCTATCCATACTATTTGTGTTTTAGAGAGATTAATTTTAAGTCCTGATAATTTATAAAATTTATCTATTTCTTCAATGCAATTTCTTAAGGATTGTTCTGTTCCATCTAATATAACTAGTGTGTCATCCGCATATTGAGACATTAGGTATTCCTCCCCATCAATTTTAATCCCTTTAATATTTTTATTATTTTTTATTTTTAAAGCTAATATTTCTGCACATAGTAAAAATATATATGGAGAAATTGGATCACCCTGGCGACAACCACGTCCTAGTTTAAAGAAATTAGATAGGTGGCCTGCTTGATTAATTGCTGATACAATATTACATTGAAATAATGAAACCCATCTTCTCAGAGAAGGACCAAAATTAAAGAATTTTAGGGCTTTATCAATAAAATTCCATGACACTGTGTCAAATGCTTTTTCAAAATCAATCATTAACAACATTCCAGGGATATTTCTTTCTTCTGTATAATGCATTAGATCATAAATTAACCTGGTATTTTCTCCTATGTATCTTCCAGGTACAAAACCTGTCTGGTCTGAACTTATAATTGTATTCAAGATATTTTTCATTCGACTTGCTATACAGCCAGAAGCTATTTTATATACAACGTTTAATAAAGATATCGGGCGCCAATTTTTTATAAAAAATTTACTTTTTCCTTCTTTAGGTATACAAGTGATAATTCCCTGTTTTTGTGTTACAGAAAGCTCTCCTTTTTTGTAAGCATAATTTATTGATCTTACTATGAAATTTCCTAACTGTTTCCAGAAAACTTTGAAGAATTCTGTTGTAAAACCATCGCTTCCAGGACTTTTATTATTTGACATGTTTTTCAAAACTAGTAATGCTTCATTTAAAGTTATCTCCCCTTCAAGATTATTCTTTTGTGTATCACTAAGTTTTTCTGCAGCAATGTCCCAAGTATGATCACTTAGATCAATATCTGTCATCTCAGAATTAGCCTCATAAAGTGTTTTATAATATTTTTCAATTTCAAGAAGAATATCTTTCTGATTTGTTATCTCGGAATCAATTGATTCATCTTTAATCAATTTAGGGATTATTTTATTTGTATAGTGTCTGTTCTCAAGGTTTAGAAAGTAATTAGTAGGTTTTTCTCCTTCATTCATCCATTTTACTCTAGACCTTATGATATTCCCCATAAGTTTATGTTCTCTTATATTTTCCAATTCCTTTTTTTTATCCTTTATTGTTTGTATATTTTTATTGTAGTCTTTTTCCAAAGTTTCAATTTCAGAAATTAACTGATTTTCTTTCTCATTACTTTTTTTCTTTACAAAACTGGAAAAAGAGATGGTTTTGCCTCTAATTTCCATTAAGAGTGTTTCAAGGAAAAGCTGTTCATCTACAATAAACTGAATTTCTTCATCTGATATTTTGTTGACATATTCTTTAGAATAGATGGGTAATGCATAATTTTCCTTTGTTTCCTGAATAACTTTGTTGATTGTTTCAATATATTTGATATCTTTAAGAAGTGAGTTATTAAATTTCCACAAACCTTTTCCATGAGTAAACTCATTTAATTTAGTCTTTAGATATATTGGTGAGTGATCGGATTTATAACTATTCAGAATTTTACTTTCTTCAACACTATTTAAATAAGAATTTGATATGAGAAAGAAATCTAATCTTGCTTGTTTACAAGGGGAAGGTTTACGCCAAGTATATCTTGTTTCATCAGGATGCATTTCTCTAAAAATATCACTGAAATTATAATCAGAGATTATTTCTAAAACTTTGCTTCTTGCCTTTGGATTGTTAATATGAAGATAATTAAAATAATCTTTTTCTGGGTCTAAAACAAGATTAAAATCTCCAACCAAAATAACATCTTGATTTGATAAATCCTTTATAATATCTGATAGTCTTTCATAAAATGAGGGTGTGTCCTCATTTGGTCCATAAACTGTAATTAAACTCAGACGCTTGTTTTCAATTGTCAAATCTAAAGCCAAAAGATTCCCTGCATCATCAGTTACTTGATTATGAACCTTGTATTCAAAATTATTATTAAAAAATATAGCTACCCCTCTTGACTTTGACGAAAATGAATTAAAATATGCTTCATATCCCCATTCATTTCTAACATCATTCTCCATATCACCTGTAAAATGAGTGTCTTGTAGACACAATATATTGCATTGAAATTGCTTATAATATTGGAGTATGTCCTTTCTCTTTTTAAAATCATGAAGACCCTGACAATTTACTGAAACTACTGTAAAACCAGACATGAAATATGAAATTGAACTGGTGCAAAAAACCTGGACAAACATTTACTCACCATCAGAAAATATGTCGCTCTGAACATGCTAAAGGTAGAAGAGAAGATAGAAGAGGAAATTAAAGAATGGTTTAGTAATAAAGACACATGCATCATAGAGTGATAGATATGCACGTCTTGTTAGAGATTTTGTCGATAGGGCAACGATAAATTTATATATAAATCATATCGGAAATGCCGTTATGAGAATAAAATAGAAAATCAAAAAGAGTAAACATTTAAATCCAGAAAAGTACCAATGTAATTTCCAAGTCGAAAACTATTTTTAAATCCGGTTTCATACATATATAATATATTAAACAAAAATTAAATTCTTAATATAAACTTTCATTATATTACATTTGAAGAAGAAAAAAAAAACGGCATTAATATTCGTATTTACAAAAAAGGAAACATATTTACAACATCAATAAGGTCACCTTTCAGCTATAAGACTCCTGTTAACATGGTTACGTCAGTCGTAACTGTTTGAGTTTTGTTTTATTTAACCATTACCGTGTGTATGTCTGTATGACATCAGAAGTCACATTTCCAAAGAATTGGCGACATCATTTACCAACTGTTCCATTATTGAAAATCTATGAGGTCCAATATGAGCATCACCCGTCCACCTTGTGATGACGAAAGCGGCGTTTTGAATGTTATTTTCTCTCATGTATCGCAACATCTTCCGCCCGGCACCATGTTCGGAATCATCGTGGTAATTTTCATGTAAGGCACCGTCCTCTGTGACGAATCTGTATACCAAGATTCGGTTATCGGCACTGGCTGCGTAGGGATCTATTAAAACTTTGCTGTACATATTCTTCACAGCATCCGCAGTTTTAACTCGAGCACCGAAAGCCATAAATTCTGAGCCGTCCTTTTTGATTGGGTCCGAGTTTTTTATTTCAACCGAGTCTAGGTGTTCCGTCTCTTCAGCTGTTACCAATAACGCATCTGCATTCGTTAGAAATGGAACATCCTCTTTATATCTGGCGCCGTTGGGTAAGATTACATGATTCTTTTGAATCTTAGCAGTAATATTTTGAGTTTTCAAAGACTCTGCCGTATCGTACACCTTGTTTCTAGCGGAAACAATAGATGCAGGTTGCTGCGTGGTGATAAAGAAAGGCAAAGGTTGTTTAGCCATTTTCTTTAGCTTTTGGGCATTAAGAATTGTGTTGATTTTACTACGGTCGGTCAGCTTTGCAGTAATGGATACTGGTCGATCAGAATTATATTCTGGACGCACCCCATTCCTATGAATCCTTACAAAACTTACATCCACCCCAAGAAGTTCTTTAAAAGTAACTGGCATCGACGTGGTTAGGTTCTCGTTGGATTCGTAAGGATAATTATGAATAAGGATATTGTCCCGCATAGACCTTGATCTAAGATCCGTAACATCGTTTTCGATAACGGACATTTTCCTGTCCATTCGGATTACAACCGATCGCAGTTCTCTCCGCAATTGAGCGTTTTCTTGTCGTAGCAAAGATATATCTTCATAATTGCTCTCACTTTGTTCTGAAACGTATTTTAATTTTGAATTTACGCTCTGATCACCCTCCGAAAGATCATTTCTTATAGTTTCCACTGATGTTTTAATGTCCTCAATAGCGGCAACAATAGACTGATTATCGGCTTGGTCTTCTAACGGGTCACTACCTGCATTCTTCTGTGAGCACTCCTCAGCCTGCTTTTTAGACGTAGCACCAGTTTTTCTTCTGTCTGACGGCATTGTAAATGCAGAAATATCACAAATATCACAAACAGCCCTCTCAAAGCACAGAAGCAAAACAGTAAACCAAGATACGAATATTAAAATCCTTCTAGAAATGCCCTAAATTGACAAAAATCTCCGGAGCTCAAAACTAAGCCGCCATACCCTGAGATGTCACGTGATCTTTTTTGACTTTGAAACTTAGGTCAAGGTCACTGTTAACCTGAATAAAATGTTGGTATTAGCTATTTACCAAAATCACCTTGACCTATGAACTTGAAATTGACCTTAACCTTTGTCCCTGACCCAAGGGTAAAAAAGAAACATGAAGTACATGTACATTGTACATGTATTTAGAAATACCTTTCAGAGTTTATTTCGGTTGACAGGTTAGAAGTTAAAGAGGTGGTGGTTTTTAATGACCTTGACCTTTCATCCAAATGTCACAATCAATCTTAAGTTCTTGGAATAAGATGCAAGATTCAACTCCAATGTTAAATAAGTTAAGAATAACCCCCCCCCCTCCCACACACACAAACAAATCAAATTAATGGCAACGTAGAGAATCACTGTTAAACTCAAATAACACCTGGGATCCACATAAAATTTCAGGAAAACTGCAGAAAAGAGCTCGAGGAAAGTGTATTAAAATATTTCATTTGAGTTACCAAAGTATATAGAAATTATTAATTTATACAGAAACCAGAAGTCTCTGTCGAGACTGAAGCTCTACTTGTTTGTACTTATTATATAGCAAAAGAAGAGAAAAGTACTTAAGCAGTTGGGAATTGAAACTTTACAACAGCAATAAATAGGATAATATGATCCTTGATTAAGTCTCATTATGTTCTTAGTGTAGTCTACTTGCATGTCACATTTTATTATAATCAGACTAAAACTGTATTTGGAGTAGCATTTTGAGAGTATATAACAGAAATTTCTATAACTAGTTTAGTAACGTAGTAACTGTGATTTAGTAACTGTGGCAACACCGTTCATTGAAGTAAAAAACCAATAGACAGAATTATGTACCTTATTAATTGTAGTCTACTTGTGTGCCAAGTTATATTGAAATCACACCAAAACTGTAGGAGGAGTAGCATTTTAAAAGAATTTCACAGAAATTTCTATTTTTAGTAACCACAGCAACACCTTTCATCGAAATCAAAAACCGAAACATAGAATTATGTATCTTAGTGGAGTCTACTTTTGTGCCAAGTTATATTGAAACCAGACCAACACTGTAGGAGAAGTAGCATTTTGAAAAATTTCACAAATAATTCTATTTTTAGTAACCACGGCAACACCATTCATCGAAATCAAAAACTGATAAACAGAATTATGTATCTTAATGTAGTCTACTTGTGTGCCAAGTTATATTGAAATCAGACCAAAACTGTAGGAGGAGTAGCATTTTGAAAGAATTTTACAGAAATTTCTATTTTTAGTAACCACGGCAACACCGATCATCGAAATCAAAAACTGATATACAGAATTATGTATCTTAGTGAAGTCTACTTGTGTGCCAAGTTATATTGAAATCAGACCAAAACTGTAGGAGGAGTAGCATTTTGAAAGAATTTTACAGAAATTTCTATTTTTAGTAACCACGGCAACACCGATCATCGAAATCAAAAACCGATACACAGAATTATGTATCTTAATGTAGTCTACTTGTGTGCCAAGTTATATTGAAATCAGACCAAAACTGTAGGAGGAGTAGCATTTTGAAAGAATTTTACAGAAATTTCTATTTTTAGTAACCACGGCAACACCGTTCATCGAAATCAAAAACCGATAAACAGAATTATGTATCATAGTGAAGTCTACTTGTGTGCCAAGTTATATTGAAATCAGACCAAAACTGTAGGAGGAGTAGCATTTTGAAAGAATTTTACAGAAATTTCTATTTTTAGTAACCACGGCAACACGATCATCGAAATCAAAAACCGATAAACAGAATTATGTACTTTAGTGTAGTCTACTTGTGTGCCACGTTATATTGAAATCAGACCAAAACTGTAGGAGGAGTAGCATTTTGAAAGAATTTTACATAAATTTCTATTTTTAGTAACCATGGCAACACCGATCATCGAAATCAAAAACCGATATACATATGTATCTTAGTGTAGTCTACTTGTGTGCCAAGTTATATTGAAATCAGAATAAAACTGTAGGAGAAGTAGCATTTTGAAAAATTGTTTACAGACAGACAGACAGACGGACGGACGACGGACGCATTACCATCGCATAAGCTCTTCTGGTCTCTGACCAGTAGAGCTAAAAAATTACAAATCCTGTCGTGTTTAAAATTAAAGTACAGATGACCAAAGTTGGCATATAAGCCTTTTATAGCCTATTTATTCAGATTTTGTTAATAGCATTCAATTCTACTGATTTGAAATAATATTTTAATACCAAGCATCCTTTGTTTAATTTACCTTTGAAATTTATTTGAATTCTTTTTAGAATTACGCAATCCCCAGAAATAGCGATTTTCGGTATATTAAAAATCAATATACACGTACGCTCCTTCGTAAAATAATCAGATATTTGCATTCATGAAAAAATATTAATAAGAAGGTGTTAAACAATATTGGTCACATTAGCTGACATGAATGTCTTTTTAAACATCCCTTGTAAAACCCAGAGAGTAGCCCCCTATGCATTGGAAAACATAGGTAATCAGAGATTACAGAGCTCACCTCAACGAATGTTGTCTTTAAGTAAGGCAAAGTCACACAATTAACCAACAAAAAGTATACATTCCAAAAATGAAAATATTTTTAAAAGCAATTTTGATCTGATACTTTGAAATAGACCTACATAAAAAATTTAAACTACTTCATCTTCATGAAAATGTAATGAAAATCCAGCATCTGAAGCAAATTTGAGAGTTTTCATCTCTTGATGCAGCATTTGTGAAAGTTTGGTTTATACAATGTTATATAAGCCTTATAGTTTTTGGTAATAGACCTGCAACCATAACTTTTACCTTGTCTATTATCTGAAAAATGTATGTCCAATTCAGCATCCGAAGCAAGTCCATTAGTGTGCATCCTTAGATGTATCATCCATGCAAGTTTGCTCATTATAGGGCTCATAGTTTATTGGAAATGAAACATGCATCAAAACTAACATTTTCACTCATCCACAAAAAGTAGGTCAGATTCAGCATCCGAAGCAAGCCTGGAAGTATGTATCCTTAGATGTATCATCTATGCAAGATTGGTCATTAAAGAACTCATAGTTACTTGGAAATGAAACCTGCACCAAAAACTTTTAACTATTCACTCAACCGGAAAATGTAGGTCAGATTCAGCATCCGAAGCAAGCCTGGTAGTGTGCATCCTTAGATGTATCATCCATGCAAGTTTGGTCAACATAGGGCTTAAAGTTACTTGCAAATGAAACCTGCACCAAAAACATTAACCTGTTTGCTCAACTGGAAAATGTAGGTCAGATTCAGCATCCGAAGCAAGCCCGGTAGTATGCATCCTTAGATGTATCATCCATGCAAGTTTGGTCAACATAGGGCTTATAGTTACTTTGAAATGAAACCTGCACCAAAAACTTTAACCTGTTCACTCATCTGGAAAATGTAGGTCAGATTCAGCATCCGAAGCAAGCCCGGTAGTATGTATCCTTAGATGTATCATCCATGCAAGTTTGGTCAACATAGGGCTTATAGTTACTTGGAGATGAAACCTGCACCAAAAACTTTAACCTGTTCACTCAACCGGAAAATGTAGGTCAGATTCAGCATCCGAAACAAGCCCCGTAGTATGCATCCTTAGATGTATCATCCATGCAAGTTTGGTCAACATAGGGCTTATAGTTACTTGGAAATGAAACCTACACCAAAAAACATTAACCTGTTCACTCAACCGGAAAATGAGGTCAGATTCAGCATCCGAAGCAAGCCCGGTAGTATGCATCCTTAGATGTATCATCCATGCAAGTTTGGTCAACATAGGGCTTATAGTTACTTTGAAATGAAACCTGCACCAAAAACTTTAACCTGTTCACTCATCTGGAAAATGTAGGTCAGATTCAGCATCCGAAGCAAGCCCGGTAGTATGCATCCTTAGATGTATCATCCATGCAAGTTTGGTCAACATAGGGCTTATAGTTACTTGGAGATGAAACCTGCACCAAAAACTTTAACCTGTTCACTCAACCGGAAAATGTAGGTCAGATTCAGCATCCGAAACAAGCCCGGTAGTATGCATCCTTAGATGTATCATCCATGCAAGTTTGGTCAACATAGGGCTTATAGTTACTTGGAAATGAAACCTACACCAAAAACTTTAACCTGTTCACTCAACCGGAAAATGAGGTCAGATTCAGCATCCGAAGCAAGCCAGGTAGTATGCATCCTTAGATGTATCATCCATGCAAGTTTGGTCAACATAGGGCTTATAGTTACTTGGAAATGAAACCTGCACCAAAAACTTTAACCTGTTCACTCAACCGGAAAATATAGGTCAGATTCAGCATCCGAAGCAAGCCCCGTAGTATGCATCCTTAGATGTATCATCCATGCAAGTTTGGTCAACATAGGGCTTATAGTTACTTGGAAATGACACCCATACCAAAAACTGCACCAAAAATGTTAACCTGCTCCAAAAACATTAACCTGGTAATTCCTTTGCTGAAATTGCAGCATCTGAAACTTTGTCTGGTACAATAAAACACACTAAAACCATCTTCCATGCATGTCTAATCAGTATAGGACACAGAAGTAATTAAAAAGAAAACTGCTCCAAAAAACTTAACCTTAACCTGGGACGCCGACGCCGACGTCGAGGGTATCACATAAGCTCCCCCCAACTTCGTTGAGGTGAGCTAAAAATGAATAGTTCCGGTCAAAAAGCTTCATATATTTATTTACAAAGTATATAAAATTTACCAGGCACATGTATCAGAGTTGTCAAAATGGCCTGAGAGGAAATATTAAAAAAAATTCTGAACAGAAAAGAAAATCCCTTTTCATGTATGGAACTACTATTGAATAAGTTCATTTTGATTCGTTAGGTATTGGCGTGATACCCTTAGTCGACTTTAACCCTGCCTTGTCGTCGAAATAAAACCAACTTTGAGCCCGAGGTTGAAATAAGTAAAGAAATAAAATGTGAATCGATATATTAAAAATATGA